TTAAGAATTTGGAGAAACGTGTACCCGAAGGTCTCCCAAGCCGTAGTCAGGTTTGGAATATCACAGACCTTGTCAATATCCGAGTGAAGCACATCATTAGTAAATGCCTGAGTGCTGAAGTGTCTCATGGAGTGCTTCTCAACCAATTTAGGGGGGGCTTTGGGTCTGGCTGATGATCTCACCCCAAAAATGAAGGAGTGATCACTAAGGTTATTACCTAGAACACCAGTCAGTGCGAAATTGTGAGGGGCATTTGTCAATAGGACGTCAAGCAGAGATGACTGTCCCGGATTTTTTAGGTTGGGTCTTGTGGGGACATTTATTAATTGAAACAGGTTAAACAGGTTAAATTCATCTGCAAAATTTGTGGCCACGGCCGGCGGGTTTAGCCAATTCCAATTTAGATCACTCACTAAAACTATTTCACCTTTAGGGAGGCCCCCAAGAAGCTCTCTCAGTGCAGATGCAGCTTCAACATCCTTCCCACTAGGCGGTCTATAGCAGCACACTACCAATATGTGTTGATTATTAGGGAGAGTTATTCTGAGAGCCAGACCTTCAAAGCAACATTTTTTAAACAAGGAGTGAGCTGGTGAACATGCAATAGTATTACGAACATAGATGGCAATTCCACCTCCTTTAGATCCTCGGTCAAGCCGGAAAAGATTGTAGTTGTCAATCATAATCTGCAAGTCATTGACGGCAGGAGTGAGGGGTAGCATTAATAAAGGGAAGGGTGCTAATAGTATGTAGCTGCAGTGACTAAACAACCACGTGCATGTTTATCATTGCTCTAGCCCAGGGGTCGGCAACCTACGGCTCCGGAGCCGCATGCGGCTCTTTACGGGCTGCTTCTTGACGATGAGTACGTATGTACTCAGATGCATTGCGGCTTTTGAAATACTGAATTTTGTACCGAATTGGAAAGAAATGGCTCTTCTTGTTATTTTGGTTGCCGACCCCTGCTCTAGACCATATGGAATTTCCTCGTCTGGGGAAAGTCCCGTCTCTGACGTGTATGCACGCGGTGATCCTGATGCAAGAACTCGCCGTAAATGTATTTTTTCTCCTGGTATCAGCATCCTCTACTTTTAATAGCTGCAAAAGTTCCAGGTTTATTTTGTTGAACCAGGAGAGAACTCAAGAGACCAGGATCGAGGCTCACTTAGAAGAGAGAACTGGGTCACCAAAGTGACTAAAGCGGTAACATAACTACTTCGTACAACCATGAAACGAATAGAAATCTCAGCTTAAACAACCACATCACAGACAAAATGTAAACTGGTGCACAAACATAATCAATATGAAGTAAAAGACATTCCCTGTAACCAAGGTATACTAATTGTTTTCGTAAGTACCTCTTTGCTACAACAGGTTTTCAAAATTATTTTTAATCCCACCCCCCCCCCCCCCAAAAAAAGTAGCGTGCAGTGGAATAATTTTTATTATTCCACACATTTTTGTAGTTCTGCGGCGAGTTTAATTGCATTAATAAAAAGTGTTTCCATCGCCATGCTTTGATGCAAACGGTAGACTTCTTACCGCAGCAGGCAGTCAGAAACGTCTTTAGTTTCACAGGTAAATAACATTGGCGCAAGGAAACGAATGTTTTTAACCGAATGGGTTTTCAGTGCACGCATATTTTTGTGTATATATATATTTTTTAAAGAAACCCAGTTGCAAGTAAATTGATCAGTATTGTAAAGCGCGGTCATTCGTGAAACTATAGACGGTGGGTGTACAAAACGACACAATGCCGATTGTTGTCGCTGTGTGAGACAGTGCGTGTGTGCGTGTGTTGTGCGTGTGTGCGTGCATGGTGGGAAAGGTTGCGAGCTGCCTGCAGGCTCCGCTGCATGGGGTAATTCACGTTTTGGCGTTTTGGCGACACTGCACCACAGAGCCGACATGCGTGGACTTGGTGTTCGCCCGCGCGCACAGGCGGCACGGGCGTGTGAACCTGCGTCCCTTCCCATTTGTTTATAACTGCTTTTTGTGTTAAGTCCTTCCCCTCCTGCACCTCCGATTTAGCGCGATTGGCAACGTAAGGTGCGGAAGAAGTTCACCGTACGTTTACGCCGTCGTTACTCCGAGGGTCTTAAACGGGGACGCGTAGCAGCACCCGCGTGTGCCTCTTGCTGCCTCGTCTCCCCCCTTCACCGTTGCCTCTGCCACGACTCCGACATTACGGACGGATAGATGAATCGGTGTTCCTGAGCCGTCTCACGTCGCATTCCGCAACACACCGATACTACATTTGGTGCATCTTAATATTTTGTAAAAAGATCATATCATCCAAGGGCTCCCATATATCCTCCGCACCGCGTTCCTGACAAAACCGCTCATAGGAAAGGGGTGGCTGGACAGGTCTTAGGTGCACGAGCCGTTCCTCGTTCCCACCGAGTTGACGTCCGGCCGATGGGACATGCGGGCGGCGGCCTTCGTAGGTGCCCCAGGAATGGCCTGACCCCACGACCAGGGCACTGTTGACATGCGGTGGCCTGTTTAGCGTGCCGTGTGCAACTTCACTCGGTATCGCAGTACATGCGTAACCTTTGTGTACTCCGGGTGGGCCAGGTTCTCGGCGATTCCGAGAGCCGAATCGTCAGGTGTGTTCCCAGCGCGTCTCGTGTCGACAGCGCCGAGGTCTCGCTCCCTCCTTGCCGCCTCAAGGCAAAATCAAACAATCACGCCGTGAAGCTGCTCGTAGTATGGAGGAGGAAGAGGTGCACGCCACTAAACTTGTGGATTCGTGCAAGCATTGGGGGCGGGCCTAAGCATGAGTCATTTGCAAGTTATGCCAGAGGACCCGGTTATTGAAATATCTGAATAAAAACCGAATGTCCTTTTGGAAGTGAGCAGTGCCGCGGTGCAGGCCAGTGTTTACACATCAGCGGCATTCGCGAGCAAAGTCGGGCATCGGCGATGGCAACTGTTTTAGCTTCTCCCCTTACTCATATTTACGACCGTGAGCTAAAGTCACGGGGGGGGGGGGGGGGCAGGGACGCGATGGTGGTCGATGGTCGAGGTTTCGTAACGGAGCGGCAGCCAAGGAGCGGAACGCGGCGTCCGAGGGAACTTCTTCCGCCGAGGAAGAGACGGAGCGACGAGATCGGTTCTTGTGCGGGCGCTGGACGGGGCTTGCCGTAGGCCGCAATAAATGCATGTTTGCAAACAAAAATGAAGTGATTAATTTGAAACAAGTTGCTAAGTAAATGTAACATTTCAACACTTAGTTTTGCACAACAGTTGTTTGCACTTGCTGTACGCACAATAGACGCTGGCTTGCGGTATTGTGCATAGGTGGCATTAGACCAGATGGTTACGTGAATCTGGAGTTCATTATGATTCCTGGGACCAGACCCAGATGCAATAGAGCGCTCTTACTGCACAAACCTTCAGGTAGTCGACCTGACTCAAGCGGCAACTCCTTACGTCGTACGTGTGTAGAGGTGATACGCGCTGGGATTAGAGATCGTATGCCAGCGCGTAATGATTGGCTGTGTAGGTGGTGACGTGCGCTGACGGTGGAGGATCAGGGGTCAGCGCGGGGTCGTGGGTTACGGGGTACTGATTGGCTGTGGACGGGTGACGTGCTGAGAGGGAGTGATCGGGTGGCAGCGCGGTGTGATTGGTGGAGGAGTGTTAACACGCGCTGGGGAAAACGGATCGTAGAGAGAGTGCGTCGTGATTGGTTCATTAAGGAGCGATGCTCACGTTGAAGTACGCATCAGCTCCGCCTCTCGTGAGCAGGGGCTATAAAAGGGGATGCACACAGGCGTGAGGGCAGTGTGTAACCAGCGAAGAATGAAGACGGGGATGAAGACCTAGGGCCCGGCGGTACCTAGTCCCGCTGTCCTAACGGGACCGGGACTCTGTGTAACCCAGAGGCGAGTGTAGTGTGTGTAGCCATAGGCGTAAGGTCTACACGAGCCGAATGCAGTGTATTGTGTAGCCAGGGACATAGGGTCTACACGAGTCGAGTGTATTGTGTAGCCAGGGACATAGGGTCTACACGAGTCGAGTGTTGTGTAGCCAGAGGCGTAGGGTCTACACGAGTGAAGGGTATCGTGTGTAGCCAGAGGCCTAGAGTTTACACGAGAGTAGTGGAGTGTGAAGTTGGAAGAAAGGAGACTACACGTTGTATTTTGATACGTAAAGATTTAATAAAAGTGTGTTCCCGTCAAGAAGTTCCTGCCGTCAATTCCCATACTTCACGTGTAGGGAATCAGTCGAGGTCATCAGCGCTCAAATTGGATTGTAAAGCACACACCTGGAATGAAAGTGCGTATCAGTGCGAGTGTGTTTTGCTGTCTGTGTGTGTTTTGAGTGGGGAGCACAGGTGGTGCATCTGCCTGTCACCTCGGTTCAGTCAACCGATAGCACCTGGTTCTGTGCCTTGACCTCCTGGCAGCAGTGAGCCTTCGATACTTCACATGGCCTCAAAGTGCACCTAGCCTGGCACAAGTGTCGTGGTGATGGCAGCTGTTGTATTTGTGTTGATGTAGTAGTTGGCACACTATGCTAATAACCTGGCAGCCTCAGTTCGAGTCCTGTTTATGGCTAACATCAATGACGAATATCTGAATAGGTTCTGGGCCTCAGCTAGGTCGACTCAGCCGTAATAGTACCTGGTACATCGTGTAGACATCGATAATGTAGAGACAAAGGTGGCCGAGTGTGTGGCTTGGTCTTTAATAGGTGCTCGCTACCAGCACTTGCCCCAACAGTCTGAAGGCTCTCTGGGTATAATTGTATACCTGGCCACATGCATATGACCGTGTTTTTATGAGTGTGCTATTTTTTGTTATTTTATCCAGAGACCCCTCTGCTGCTTATCCAACCACAGTTTCAAGTTTTGTCGAATAGACAAAAGTTTTTTCATGACAACACGAACAGGCGACGTTCTACGCCCGTGAGACAAAGAAGGTTGTGTATTTTAGTTATCAGCAAATAACCTCGACCAAAACATCGCCGTTGGTGTGTCCCGTGTGTTTCAGGAGGACGCTGGCCCGTGGATTGACTGCCGTGCGGTGGGAGGAGCGGCGCGAGCCCCGACGAGGAAGGCGCCTCGTCCCTCAGCCGGGTTTTTTTGTCCGCACCCCGTCCCTTTACGTGCGCCGCACCTCTCCTCCTCGCCAAACCGCAATCTGGTCGCCTGGGCCAGGGAGGAGCGGGCGGGGGCGTGTGCCGAGTGGGGTTAAGCGTGCGGTGCGCTTGAATGCGGCCACGCAGTAGAGCCGAGCGCACGCCGAGAGAGAGAGCCGCGGCACTCGCTCAACCAGTTTTGGCAGCCGAGTTTTTCTTCACCTGGTGGTTTTTTTCTCTCTTTTCAATAATATTAATTTAAACTTTTCGGCAAAGTAATTCCGCGAGCATGCGCCGCGCGCGCGCCTGATGTGCCCCCCGAGGGACGCGGAGGTCGCGACGCGCGCAGCGCCGTTCGTGCGTGGGTGGGGTGGGGAGCGGCCCGGCACCGATCATTTGGCGGGGGAGCCATGCGCAAGCTGGCGGCGCCGACGCCGCACCTCCCAGGGGCAGCGTGCGGCCCCTGGGAGCCGAGGGACGGCTTCACGGTGAGCGGCGGGGGCGGGGGCGGCGGCGGCCGCGCCGCCATCCTCGGCAGCTTTGAGCGCGCCGAGGAGTTTGGCATCCTGGGTCCGGGGGCGCCCTACGGAGAAGAGGTGTGCGAGGAGTGCGGGCGCGAGATCACCTGCGTGGATGACGTTGGCGGGAGCGGCAGTGCCCGGCTGTGGTTCGACGACGACGAGGAGGAGGAGAGGTACATTGAGACGATGTGCCTGCGGCGGCGGGGCAGTACTAGCGATGAACTCTTAGAGGGCTCTGACTGCATGAGCACGAACGGGATGTCGCCCGTGCGGTCCTGCTACGGAGATCCGAGCGTTTACCTGGACGATGCTGCGGACACGGAAGCCGACGCCTCCTCTCACCCCGACTTCTACGATGGCGGCGTCTCGTCGTGTGGCGACGTTCCCTGTGCCGTGGACGCCTTCGACAACCACCCTGGCGGGCGACACGCCAAAGCGACGGCCCGCATCGCCGACGGTGCACACGTTCACCAGGGCCGCGCGAGCGACACGCTCAACTCCGGCTCCGGCTCGCGAAGTGGAAACAGCTTCTCCGACTACGGCAGCGCTGACGAGTCCCCCGGGCCCGGACACACGTCGGTCCGCGAGTTCCGCTCCGACTCGGACGCCAGGGCCTCGGAACAAGGCCAAAGCTACACGTGCTTCTTCCTGGTGAGTTCCAACGATCCGCCGAGCGGCGCGGAGGCCCTGACGTCCGACGGCCCAGGCCGCACCGCGAGAAGCATCCCGTCGGCCAATCCCACGAGCGAAAACGCCCCACGCGCCGGCACCGGCCACGCGCCGCTGAAGCCTTGCCGCAGCGTGGACGATCCCGCTTGCTCGCGGCTGAGGCTGCGGGCCGCAAAGAGCGCCAATGGTGCCTGGTGGGCTTCTCTGGATTCGTCTCCAGCCGGAGCCTCCGTAGTCCGAGAACATTTCCCCGCTCCTGCCACCGGCGCTGTCGGACCACGCTCCCGGAGGAGTGAGCGCGAAGACGCGGCGTCGCCACACTTGGCCGGCGTTCGTCAACGGGGTGGCGGAAGCGCTGCGCTTACTACGCCGGACAGCGAGGAGCGCGGGCGAGAGCGCCGGCCGTCTCCCACAATGCATCGTAACGCTGGCTTTCCCCATCAAAATATAATGGCCCTTCATTGCCATCATCCTGCAGAGTCCGTCTCCGAGCCGGTGCTACACATCTCCAGCCAGGCCGACGGCGGCCACCTTCCTCTGCAGCTCTCGGTGAGCTTTGACTCCATACCGTGCCACTCTCCTCTGCAGGCCGTCCAGTGGCCCACGAACATCAATGCGTCTGGTCACTCGGCCCTGAGGGCTTCTCTGAGCGAAGGTCATGACCCCAACGCGTCGGTTACGGACCACAGGCTCGGAGACTGGAGAAATCACCCGTTTCACACGAGGCCCAGCGCAGCCACGTGCTACTTCCGTCGCCCCTACGGCAGCTTGCATCTCTACGACAACGACGATTGCCCCGAGGACGAGGACGAGGAGGTCGACGATGACGGAGTCGGTTACGGGAGCTCTAGGGCGGCGCTGCACCGCGCCAGTGCCAAGCTGCTGTGGCCCATGTGGCAGAAGCAGGAGAGAGCGGGGCAGCGCGCCAAGGAGCAGGCCGACGGCAGCCTCGTCCGGAGGGACGCGACGTCGCCCGCGGTGCGCGAGCGCGGCCGGGCGCAGGCGCCGACCCGGCGGCGCAATCCCGCCGGGCTTCTGACTGAAGCGGCGACGCCAGAATGGACAAGAGAGGAGCGGAAGGGGGGAGCGGCTCCGTTCAGGCTCGACGGCGATGACGACGACGACGATGATGACGACGGCGGCGGCGGCGGGGTCTGCTGCGAGGGGAGGCGGCGCAAAGCGAGCTCTGTGGTGCTGCTGCGCCGATACCGGCGTGGCGGATTTGAGGTGAAGAAGTCGGTGTGCCCCGGCTGCTGGGACCGCTGCGGCTGGATGGCGGCGGCGGCGGTGGCGGCGTACCGGCCCACGGGCCGCTTCGGCGGCGCGTGGCACTCGACGTCGCGCCCGCAGCCCCGTCACAGGAGGCGCCTCCTGCATCTGCACTACTATCGTAAACACAACTCGCTTGGGGCCCATGGACATCACCCGGGCAGCTTCTGGAACGAGCAGGACCCAGACGGAGCGCTGAGCATCCTGCGGTGCATCCGGAGTCTGGGGCAGGGCTGCCCCTCGAGAGAACACAACGTGAAGGTAAGGACTGCACCCTGCACCCCTGCCCTCTGCCCTCTGCACTCTGCCCCCTAATCCCTGCACTTCACACTCGGGCTGTTGCACATGGCATACTGCACATGAGACACGCAAGCTCTGCGCCCAGCATCTTGAGCCTGATGAGCCAGGCCCCACTCGCTAGCCGTGTCGCCGTGACGATGGGCGATTTGCTCTCGTCCCCTCTTGGTGCCGAGGTCTGCCTCGGTAGAGCTTGAAGAATACCGCTCGGCACATTTGAAACGCCGTGTCAGGGACTGCCTTGGCAGCGCTATTTCATTATAAAAATGATTTGTCATCACATGGGTTTCATTAAGAAGTAGCAGAACTGTTTGTCGTCCTGCCCTTATTCAAATACGCCGAGCAATTTGGCATCTTGAAAAATATCATCTATTCCTTTTCATGGCTACTACCGGTATCGTGCACTGCAATTCACCGTATTTGCGATGTCCTCCGAATCGAGTCACATCTCTCACCGGAGCGGGAGATGGAACCCACCGGGGGGGGGCCTGGTGGTGCGATCTCTCCTTTCACCGTACGGCAACGCTCCCCACCTTCAGCAAGCGCCCTGAGCGCCGTCGTGCAGTCAAACAGCCATCGCAGACCGCACGGCGTGGCCAGGCCCTCATCCAGCAGTGGATTGAAAATGGGTTCTTCTCTTCTATTCCTGCGTATGGCAGCGATACGTTCAGGAGCTGAATGCCAATGTCGAGGTCTGCTGCTGGCCACAACGAGAGGACTTCTGGAGAGAGACAGTTCGTGTTGTTTTGCTGTTCCTCCTGCTCCATTGAAGGAGCGCAGGCTACGGCGATTTACTCTCTGGTCCACAGTTTGGGTTTCATGGCCGCAATGGCACTGTGGCTTGTGTCTGTCATTTTACACTCAGCCGGTGGATGTTGCGATGCCAGGGGGCATGCGATGTTTGAATCTCGAATGAGGTGTCTAATCCTGACTTCCTCGTTGTTCCACTCTGTCCGCCAGCATTCACTTTGGGCATAATGCACCGTGAATTTAAATCAATGATTGTCAGACTGTTCCTCGACAATGTTTTACGGAGTCCGGCTTCATTGCCTTTGACCAGAGGTTGGGGTGATGAGAGCTCTGGGCGTCTGGCGTTTGTTATTTTGGGCAGACAGGCAGACAGGCGGTCCAGCACGGGAAGGCGCGTTAAGGCATCGGCTGGAAGGGTCTAACGTGAGTGCGAGCACACCGACACACGCGCTCACGTTTGACCGCAGCCGCTGCTTGCTCCACGTTGTGCTGGCGCACGGCGCACGGCGTCTTGGAAGGGCACGCAGTCGCGCGGTGCAGCGGACCGCCCCTCTGCGATAGCACGGTGATACCACACACGTCGAGACCACAGCTGTACGGCGGGACATGGCATATAGCGCGGCCTAAAGCACTTGCTCTGACGCAGCGTTAAGGCGATCTTCATAGACCAGTTCCCCAGTCCTCCACCCTCCCTCTGTCCACCAAGCTGTATAAATGGACAGGCACCACGGCCACCGTTAAGTCAGCAGGGCACGTGCGGTCACGTAGAGTCTGTGCATTGCCACTGCTTCTAAGACGACTGGCCCGTGAGGAAGATTAGGCAAACGATGCCCCTTTAAAGGGGCTCAGTAGTGCTCAGTCGAGCGGGGAGGCCCTTCCGCCAGCAGCGGCAGGGGCGAGCACTTGCGGCGGCTGCACCTTCACCTCTCGCCTGCATGTTCTGTGGCCCTAAGGACGTTGAGAGGCACACACAAGTGGAAGACAGAGGTGCACGCAGGGCGAGTGCAGGGTGTGCGATAACATACCCATTATTAACTAATGATTTCTCGAAAAATCGCCAGGTGTGGGTGTGAGCTGGGCCAAGGCTGCAGTCTGGCAGTGGTGCAAACTCTCTCTCTCCCCTAGCAACCCCGGTGTTTGTGTGAAAAGAAAAAAAAACGCTATAATAACAGCTAAAATAACAACTGGATGCCGGTGGTTTTACGTGCCAATTAATCAGATGTGGGGGCTAATGGTACTGGAGTTTCGTTCAGAAACGTGACCCAACTTTGGACGAGCGAGTGAGTTTTACTGGAGCGTGCAGGCATGTTGAGGCGGCCCCACAACTGCAGAGCTACAGACGCGTGAGGGCGAGGTTTCAACATTTCTGGAGCGTGTGACACACCACACATTTCTACAACAGAAAGAGCTGTGCGTCCTGGTGCATTCTGGGTAATATCATTGAATGGGCTGCCTGACGGTCCACGGGGTTTGGCAGATAATGCCCAGATGCAGGCAACGCTGGTTACCTGGTTGAGCACTCGGCTCCCGCAGCGTCTCCACTCACGCACACGCGAGATGCTTGCCACAGACGCACATCCAGCTCTCTCCGGCTGCCTCTCCGGGTTGTTACCGCTTGCATTTCATGCGCTGGGTTGCTTCGGCAGGAGCCTCGAACCGGCTCCCGGCCTGTGCCGCTGTAATTCCGTTGCCAAAGAAGCTCCCCGGCACGTAGTGCGAAACGTCGATCGCTGTGCCCGGGCAGCGTGCGGTACGACACAGAAAGGCAGCGGAGGGCTGCACAGCGCAACCGCGGAACCCCCTACGCAGCTCAGTGCACCTCGCCAAGCAATGGCTCGCTCTTGACATAATGTCACGTGTTGTTGATCATTTAACATTCCTTGCAGAGAGGTGTTGGTTTTTAATATTTGAGTCGGTTCGTGAGGATGTTAAGGAGTTGATGTGTTTAGGAAAGGGGAGTGGTTTCTGTTTGTTTTAATTGACAGGAAAGTTTTTGTTGTTTCATGGGGAGGGAGAGGCCATGGGGTTTAGAGTTCGTTAAATGCTCCAACCGATTTGGAACTTCCCAGCTGACGGCTGGAAGTAAATTGGCCTCAACGAGCAACGTGCCGGCGTTTCTCCTTCCCGACGTTTCCCAATATAGTTTGCCTTGCTTCTTTATGAGAGGAATGTTTATTTGGGTGAAATGCATATTACGTGTCCAGGTCATAACGCCGGATTCTTCTCCTGATTAGAATGTTTTGAAATCTAGTCTTTCAATAAGATTTCAAATCCATTATTTTTACTTGAGTAAATACGCTCCGCAATGCTGGCAAGAAGACGCATGATGACATGCAGAAGCGTGGCAACGAGCGAACATGGGACACATGGTGTGGCGTGCGTGTGCGTGCGTGTGTGTGCGCGTGCGTGTGCCTGGTGGGGAGACGCAGTGTCGCGGTTAGCGAGCTTTGTTACGAACCCGGTGACCCGAAGTCAATTCCCGCTCATGAGCAACACCAGTGACGGTTTTCTGAACTGGTCCCAGGCCTCCGCAAAGTCGAATTGGCCTCAAATGAGTACCTGGTGCGGTGTGTAAACATCACCACTAGGGAGACAAAGGCGGTCGGGCGTGGTGCTGGTCGCCCACCCCCTCTTGTACCGTTATGGCCTTCATAGGTGCTCGCTAACAGCACTTGCCCCAAAACTCTTTTTGTCTAAGTGTGCGTGCGTGGGCATGTCGGCCCTGAACAACCGTGTGCACGTTTCTTCATGTGCACGTGTCAAAATGTAAACAAAACTTACCATTTTGTCAAGTGCCTAAACGGAAACGAAAAGGAGGATTCTTGAACGCAGCTGTGAGAGCCTTTGAATGTTATGCACTCGTGTGTGTGCGTGTGTGGTTTCTACTGGCACTCCACAGTGTTGCCCCACATCCTGTTCGCTACACAAGAGAGACAGAAGAATCTGGCAAAGGTGGTAACCAAGCTCAGGGTCCATGCAGCGTGGAACACAATCTGGAGAGCGTGCCGAGAATCATTGCACCTATTATATACGGGAAGAGGAACACGTGGGTTAGAGAACATCCACAAGCTGTGGACGTCACGGTGACTGTTTAGAGAGGCTAGTGGCTTGAACCAGATGCGGCGCCAGACGGGGTACGATGGCCAGTGGTGGAGAGCCACCGAGGAACGACGGAACGACGGATCGTTGCGTCGTGAGGCTGTGAGAGATGACGACGGCTTGGGAGGCCTTCATCCAGCAGTGGATAGGTTCGATGACGATTTCTCCGAAATGTAAAGTGGTTGCGCAATAAGGAAACGATTGTGAAGCCAGTGAGTGAGTATTTGTTGTAAAACAGCAAAGAGCTTTAATACGATCAAGCACGATCCTGCCAGGCTGGATAGGAGTGGGCGACTTGCAATTGGAACATTGATAGTTTCAATTGGCGTCAGGAGTTCTACATACATACAGCTTGTCATAGGAATGTGGAGTTTTCACCACTGGCTCAGGAATGCAATGTAGTACATTTGACTCGATCAATTCGATGAGTATTGGTGCCTTATCATTTGGGAAATCCATCGCTCCGTGTTGCTGCTACTGCTGCTCCACAGTTTTAATAAATATGCATTGCTGTATGCACAAGGGGGTGAAACATTGGTTTAAAGCATAACCTGCAACTTGGAAGTGTTTATGTACACGTGACTTAGGCCCCTGCACTGCTGCATGTAATATTGCAGCATTCCTGTTGTGGGTGGTTGTGTGAAGTAAATGAGGGAGTGTCGTTGAGTGAGAGAATGTAGACAGGGGGGAGTTCCCCTCTCTCTGCACACCACGGAACAACCCCGTGTTCGCTGATGCATTATCTTTATCACTGTATGGGTCCCACATGTAGACTCGGATGAGAGCTTGACAAGATAGGCCAGATCAGATGGTGGGGTGGGATTGTAAGAGCAGGCTGTTTTAAGGACGAGGTTTGTTAAATTTTAGAAAAGCCAAGGCTACTGTGACATGGCATTGTGACTTCCAAATCATTTGTCATATGAATGGCCTCTTGATCTTATGACTCTACAGTACATTTAGATAATAAACAGCATAGCCTATGGCAAACATATTCCAACTTTACTGGAAGTAATAGTGCCAGCAACGTAACCCAATCTGTGCATGGTGAGTTTTTACAGTGGCTGCTGTGCCTAACAAACTGTGCGTATGCCCTGGTTTCTTTGTTCTGTTCAAGG